CCCACTCAGTGTCTCCGTGGGAGAAAGATCGGGTGATCTGCTTCTATAAAGACTGCAGCCTAGGAAACCCTATGGGGTAGTTCTACTCTGTCAAATGGAGTCACTATGAGTTGGAATTGACTCAAATGCACGTAACAACATACATACATAGGGTCACCACAAGTTGGAGCCAACTTGATGGCAACAAACAACATCGAATAGATCACATAACCATGCAGAAGAGTTTGCACTCAAGCAAATGTTTGAGCATGGTAATCTTATGTCAAAGCCTTAGTGTAAATATGTAACCAGTAAGTACAAAAATACAGTCATGAGCTGCATGACATCTGTTCGGGTAACATCCAACTGCATATCTGTCTGTGGTCCCATAAGGTTATAAGAGCTCAGAAATTTCGATCAGAGAATGGAACACAGCAAACATAACTGGATGTAACAAATATGACAGCTTCCCACATGCGACCTGTGTATCTCACGTCTCTTGTATACAAAGCAATTGCGCTGCCCAGCATATAATGGTACAGTACACATATATGGTACAGTACACATATAAGCTATAACACATATGTCTTGATAGTCATAATAACCACCTGTTACTGGCTTATGTACTGTACTGTACTTTCTATCGTTATTTTACTGTGAACTTTCCCTACTTATAAACAGAAAGTTTACCATATAACAGTGTATGCTTTAACTTGTAGACAGCAGTATCTAATCTTAAGTATTGTGCATCTCTTGAGTGTTGTAGCATTTTCTCTGCTTGATTTTCTTTAGAAAATATTACTGTGAAGCGCATCATGGCTGCCAAAAGCAGCAAAACTGGTGCTAGCAATAGCAGCAGCAAGAGGCAAAGGAGAAGTGTCGATCTGGAAGTGAAACAAAAGGTTATTAAAACACAAAGGCGGAAAATAAGTGAATGTTACTGCTCACAATTTAGGCATGTTCACACAACGTTCAAACCACATAATGTCCTATTTCACAGAACGTATTGTGGACGTTAAGTGATGCCTGACTGTAAATGCAAAAAAAACCACAGTACTTTGTAAGTTTTTAGTTGGTGGTACTATTATGATTTTGAAACTATTTGAATGTTACTAGAAACCAAAGATTTTATTAATAGAAGAGGTAACAAATGTAAAATAACAGAAAATAACAAGATTTTCCCATTTATACCATTTACCCCATGAATGTTTCTTGCTTCAGCCTAATAAGTCAGCCTTGAGCAAACACCTCTGAAAACCATTAGAATTCTTGCCTAAAACCCACCTTTATGCCCCATTTTTGCTTGCCAACTTCCTCTTAGCAAGTTTCTAGTGCCCCAAGTCACCCAGAACTCACAAAAACCTTGTTTCACCTTACTCTTCGGAGTTGAACTCAGACTCATGCCGAGGTCTCTCTATCGCAACAGCCTGAATAAAGTCTACTTTCTCTACTTAACATTGTCTAGCACCATTCCTTTGATACTAAAAAAGCTTACAATTTTAAACGTTATTGGGAATATGAGTATGGATTTATGATGTAAGAAAATATGTATTTTAAATGTTCACAGAAAGGCAAAGACAAAACTGATGCAATGGCAATTGGTTTTGGCTTAGCACTGAGCCCATGTATTGCACAGACCTTGATTTCTAAAAGGAACCAGAGGTTTGGGGAGAAATGGTTGATTCTAGGTCTAGAGCAGGAAAGTACAAAGTGATCCGGGGACTTCTTTTGCACTCAAACACTAATAGGGTTGTGTCAACAACCTATGTGGCCAGTAAAACTAAGAAACTGAATTAACTTTAATTAATTTAAATATAACAATAAACTTGATTCAATCGTTGGAAAAGTATGTTTGGAGTAACCTGGGATTGTGAATGTCCTTTTTCAACAGTAAAATATATGAGGTGTGCTGCTTTTGGATTCTGGAAGACTGGGTACAAAAGGAAGGAAATGTAAAATGTCCCATAAATAAATTTATATTGAGTACTTTAGTTGTTCATTTCATTTACAATTTTTACATTGACAATAACTGGATACACTGGGTTAAACAAGATTTTTCATTAAAAATTACACATTTACACTTTTAATTTTCTAATATAGCTACTAAAATAAATTACATCTTTGACTCACATTACATTTGCATTAGACAGAACTGTGCTAGACCCAACGTCTACTTTACAAAAAATACAGAAGACAAAGTAATTGAACAAAATCATAATAAAACAGTGAGAACTCTGAGAGCCAGAACTCAATGGGATTGCCTTGTTTTTCTGATCGCGTTGTTTTTCTGGGGCTCGCATGTTTTCTACTCTTGACAGGGTGCTTACCACTTTTCTCTTGCTCTCTATTAAGAATCCAACCTCATCAACACCCAGTGAGTTTTCCTTCTCTTACAGGTTTCTTTCACAGGTTTTACTGTATCAGAATGCTGAACATTTTACAAGACAAGCAGGAGAATGTTCTGTGTGAGACAGATTAAGCAGATCTAAAAATAAAAAGGCAATGTGGAAATCTTGTTCAGATCCTAGCTTCAAATAATGCAATAACTATAATACTTTATGGACAACTGGAGAAATTTTCACTTGTTGCATGGGACAATGAAGATCTGGGTTTTTCTGGTAGGACATTGGCCTTAATTGTAGGCAGTGCATGCTTAAAGGGTGAAGTGAATGTCTGCAATTAATCACTGGTTGCTTCATCATAATAATTTATATATATGGACAAATGAGATAAAATTTTAACAATCGGTGCATCTAGGTCATGGAGTTACGGTGGTCATTTTATTAGAAGTACATATATAAATTATAGCTAGCTCTGATGCACAAATTTACTTCTGATTTCCACACCAGGAACAAACTAATGGTCATGGCTTGGAGGATCGTGGTGACGAGGAGCAGCAGCCACTTCCTACAGCCGCGAGCTGAGGAGAAACACTTATTTTCTTCCGCAAAAGACTCATAGGGGCCCTGGGTTCAGACCAGGCTGGCAGCAGCAGTGTTGGCAATAGTAGAAGGTCCCATACACATAGGCCTGTGGGCTAATCAAGATTGTTATAGGCACCCCCTCTCCTTGGCCAATGTGAAGCTACCTGTTTGATGAGCCACCCACCTGAATGCCCTCCACTACCACCACTGCCAAACAGAAGTGTGCTGGCTTCCTCCAGAAAGCAGCCTCTGCAGATCCTAGCAGCAACTGCAATGATACACTGCTGGAGAGAATGCAAGATGGCAAAGCCCCTCTTAAAAAATAGGTTGGCAGTTTCTTATAAAGTTAAACATACATCGACAACTAGACAGCAATCCCCCTTCTAGGGATATACATGAGAAAAATGAAAATTTTATCTTCACATAAAACCCATGCAGGAATGTTTATCACGTTACCTTTACTCATAACAACTGGAAATCCCGAAGACCCTCAATGGTGAATACACAAACTATGGTATGTCTACACAATGGAATACTGCACAGCAGGAAAAGGAACAAACTATCCATACATTCATCAACTTGGATGACTCTCAAATGCATTATGCTAAGTGCAAGGAGCCAGACTAAAAAAGCTACATAGTGCATGATATGTAACGGAACAGCTGCCAGCAATTCAGTCGAGGGAAAGTTTGACTTAAAAGGGACAGCACGAGAGAGGTCTTTGGAGAGAAGAGAGGTACTATTCTGTACTTTCATTGTGCTATTGACAAGAAGACATAATGCACTGGTCAATCCACATTCCAAAAGTTAATTACTGCTTTGAAATTTTGAGGCAAAAAAAAAAAAACCTGCATTGGTGACAATTCAATATTCTGATGTGTGAACAGGCATTTACCTAACAACTCTTTTCCTGGTGGCCATTAATTTAATGGTTTCCAATATGTATCACAACAATCAACAGGGCCATCAAGGTGCTTAGAGATCTCCATGAAACACTTGGGCAAGGGGAATTGTTGGGTCAAAGGAAGTACTAATAGAAAGGCTTCTGCTACCTGTGGTTACCATTTCCAGGCTCCTTACATGAGGAGTCAGTAAGGCAGTTCCCAGCCAAGTGTGGGGAAAAATGGCTCTGGATAAAACTCCAGGCCCAACAGCCCCTTGCCTTGTCCTACTTACACAAGAACCCTAGCTGGTCTCCCGTATTCTCCAGGACCTGCAGGTGGGGTAGGAGCCAGTATTCTAGCCAAGCCCGACAACTGCAGCATCAATTCCTAGTCTGGTGCACACCCTTGTACTGTCAGAATTACCACAATAAGGACTCTGTCACTGAGCACAAGCTCTGTGCAACTGCAGGACAGAAGCACCACTGCCGTATCCTTCTCAGATGTGTTCTAAAGAATGAGGGACATCTGAAGATTTTCCCATATTCCTTACATTTATAAAATCTCTCTCCACTGTGGAGAGGTTATATGGTTAGTGAGGTTTGAGGATTCTCAAAAGAATTTTCCACATTTCATACATTCAAAATGTTTCTCTCCAAGTGATTTCTTACGTATTCAGTGAGGGATGAGGAATAGGTAAACGCTTTCCCACATTCCTTACGTTCATAACATCTCTCCCACTGTGAAGTTATATTCAGTAAGCACTGGTGTGATGGTTAAGATTGTGCGTCAACTTGGCTGGGCCATGATTCTCAGTGTTTTAATGTAATCACTCCCATGATGGAATATACTGTGAGTAGCCAACCAGATGAAAGGGAGTCTCCTTGGGGGTGTGGTCAGCATCTGAATATAAGCAGACGTTCTGGCTTTTTGCTCTCTCCGGATCCTGCAGCTGCCTCCTGTCGTCTCATCTCCGGTTCTTGGGTCTTGAGCTGTCAGTTTATCTGCCGAACTTGGTATTCATCGATCTGCACAGCCTGTGAGCGGGAGCCCTGCTCTCCGACCTGCCGATCTTGGGCTTGCCAGCTTCTGCGGCTGCATGACTTGGGAGAGGCCTCTATCCTGATCCACGGACTTGGGACATTCTAGCCTCTACAATCACATGAGCTGTTTCCTTGATATAACTCTCTATATATATATTTATACACTTTACCGGTTTTGCTTCTCTAGAGAACCCAGCCTAAGACAACTGGAGACTGACTAAAGGCTTTCCCACATTCCTTACGTAAGGTCTCTCTCCACTGTGAGTTCTCACATGTGCAGTGAGGTGTGAGCATTGAGGAAAGGCTTTGCCACATCCCTGACATTCATAAGGCCTCTCTCCACTGTGCATTCTAATATGTGTAGTGAGGCTTGACGACTGACTAAAGGCTCTCCCACATTCCTTACACTCATAAGGCCTCTCTCCATTGTGAGTCCTCACATGTGCAGTGAGATGTGAGCACTGACGAAAGGCTTTGCCACACTTCTTACATTCCTAAGGCCTCTCTCCATTGTGAATTCTCATGTGTAAAGTGAGGTTTGAGGACACATAAAAGGCTTTCCCACATTCCTTACATTCATAAGACCGCTCTCCTCTATGAGTTCTCACATGTCTAGTAAGGTGTGAGCACTGACGAAAGGTTTTGCCACATTCCTTACATTCATACGGCCTCTCTCCACTGTGAGTACGCATATGTCTAGTGAAGTTTGAGGACCAACTAAAGGCTTTCCCACATTCCTTACATTCATAAGGCCTCTCTCCACTGTGTGTACACGTTTGGTAAAACTTGAGGACCAACTAAAGGCTTTGCCACATTCCTTACACTCATAAGGCCTCTCTCCACTGTGACTTCTTACATGTGCAGTGAGGTCTGAGGAGTGACTAAAGGTTTTGCCACATTCCTTACATTTGTAAGGCCTCTCTCCACTATGAGTTCTTATATGTGTACTGAGGTGTGATGGCCAACTAAAGGCTTTGCCACATTCCTTACATTCATAAGGCCTCTCTCCACTGTGAGTTCTTCTATGTGTAGTGAAGTCTGAGGAGTGACTAAAGGCTTTGCCACATTCCTTACATTCATAAGGCCTCTCTCCACTATGAGTTCCTATATGTGTAGTGAGACTTGAGGACTGACTAAAGGCTTTGCCACATTCCTTACATTCATAAGGCCTCTCTCCACTGTGAGTTCTTACATGTGTAGTGAGGTATGACGACTGATGAGAGGCTTTCCCACATTCCTTACATTCATAAGGCCTCTCTCCACTGTGGGTTGTCATATGTCTAGTGAGGTGTGGGGAAAGACAAAAGGCTTTACCACATTCCTTACATTCATAGGGTTTCTTTCCAGTAAGAGTTCTCACAGGAGTGCTGAGGTAAGAGGGACAACTGCAGGCTTCTCCACTTTCCTTACACTGACAAGCACTGCATTCAGAGTGACATCTAACATGATGCTGAAGGCATTCAGGATATGCTTCCACAGCAGTTATTTTGAGCACAGGAAGGTTTGGAATCTGGCTGAAGGTCTGTACACACTGAATGTCTTCATTACTTTCACAGAGGTTCCCTACCATATGCCTTGCTAAAAAAAAGGCAGTATGCTGTTGGATATAAATTTGTTACCACTTCACCATTACCATACACAGTAAACATGTATTTTTTTTGTCCTGAATTTTATCATGTTTCATAGATTAAATCATCTGGCAGAGAAGCTACCATTATTTTCATTGTGTTTCTAAAATACGTGTCTAATATATTGGGTCTTTCTGATAATTGTATATAAGTGAAATATGTTTCAAATATTCAATATCTTACATTTATGAAAATATTGTACTGTTGAAGTTCTGTGAACACACAATACTAGAACTGGTTTTATATACATATATAAGACACCTAGATGGCATACAAAGTTTGTCCTCAACTAGAACCTAAAGGTTAGTGGTCTGAACCCACCCAGCGGCACTGTCGTGAGTATGAATAGACTCAAAAGCAACAGGTTTGAGATATATATATAGAACCTACCAGTGGCCCCACAGCAGAAAGATGTGGCAGTCTGCTTATGTAAAGATTATGGCTAAAAGTTGGAATTGACTCTATGGCAATGTATTTTTACATACGTATATATATGTATATATACACAAATATATAAACACGGGGTCACAATGAGCTGGAATCAACTTGACTATATATATATATATATATAGTTGTTTGGTGCTGTCAAGTTGATTCCTACTCATAGTGACAGAGTAGAACTGCCTCATAGGGTTTTCTTGGCTTTAATTATTACAGAAGCAGATTGACAGGTATTTCTGTTGTAGGGCCACTGGATAGGTTTGAATTGCCCATCTTTTGGCTAGCAGTCAAGTGCTTAACCATTTGTGCCACCTGGGTTCTTTACATCATATGTAAATGTTTTAATGTCATGATACCATCTTAAGACTCTCCTCAACCACTGCTGCCTCTCAAGCGAATGACACTCACCTCACGTGTTTTCTCGTTGTTATCCTGATCTTCGATGCCATGCAATTCGCAGATTTCTCCGACCATGGAGGACCAGCCGTCATTTTTCATGAATCGTACTATATTTTCAGTGGATAGCTTTTCTTCATCATTAAGGTTTCGAGAAACTGACCCGATTATTTAAGTTGAGGTTCACAATATGAAACAAAAATGGAAGAAATTACTCAGAGGGAAAAGGTAGCTGTGAGGGAAGAAAGACCTTGACATGTTTGGCTGTTACAGTACTTTGGCAATGGTCAAAATGCAATTTACTAGGCACCACTTCCATGAAGATTGAGAGTGACAATGACACAAATAGGGTGCAAATAGAAGATCAAAGTAGAAAGATACTGGACACAATGTACGTGGACTATTAAAAGAGGTAAAGGGGACAGTCTTTCTTCACAAACACAGGTGTGTTAGGATTGATGAAATTCAGAAAAGCAAGCTCAGGTTATCTGTGAAGTACACACTCCTCAACCCAAAAGAGACTTTTCTAACTACTTTATTCAAATCTCATTCCCTCTATGCAGGCCTGGTCCTTCAAAATATTCTTGCCCCCTGGTGTCCCCTGATGCAATGGTCCTAGATGAGTGTTATACACACTCTCCTCAGGTCCTCCTCTTGCTACTCTGGGAGAACAAATGGGTGTAGCTGACACGGTGCTTGTCATGGATTGCACAGTGTCCCCCCAAATATGTGTCAACTTGGCTAAGCCATGATTCCCAGTATTGTGTGGCTGTCCTCCATTTTGTGATCTGATGTAATTTTCCTATGTGCCTAATCTCTGCTTGTGGTTAATGAGGCAAGATTAGGTTATGTTAAAGAGGATTAAGGTAGGATGCAACACCCTTACTTAGGTCACAGAACTGATCCAACGTAAGGGGAGTTTCCAGAGGGTGTGGTCTGCATCATCTTTTATCTTACAAGAAATAAAAGGAGAGAAAAGCGAGCAGAGAGATGGGGACCGCATACCACCATGAAAAAAGCACTGGGAGCAGAGCACATCCTTTGGACTCAGGGTGTCTGTGCGGAGAAGCTCCTAGACAGGGATAAAATTGATGAAAATGACCTTCCCCCAAAACCGACAGAGACAGAAAGCTTCTCCCTGGAGGTAGTGTCCTGAATTTGGACTTCTAGCCTCCTAGACTGTGAGAAAATAAATTTGTTTGTTAAAGCCATCCACTTATGGTATTTCTGTTATAGCAACACTAGATAACTAAAACAACGCTCATGGAGAAAGGTGTATCATGAGGGAACAGCAATGAACACTTCCCTGACACTGAGCCAATACTTTGGTCTTCAGGGTCTCTGGAGATGGGCAGATGTAAATTTATTTGTAGCAAAATAATCATGCCAAACTTGCAATAAACACAGGAAGATTCTTTACAAGGTCCCAGCCCACAAATATTCTGTATACCAAAGACGCCCCTGAAGTCAAAGCTTACACTTACAATATTTAAAATGCCTTAAAGATTTTAACCAAAATTGAAATGAGAAGTCAGTTTAATACACAGAGTTTTCTATTCATGAGGCAGCCAGGATATGCATGCTCCAGAGAGCAAATGACCATATTGTCTTAGTTAACAATGTATTCCCATTCCTCGACCCACATACTGGAGTCACATTTATGACATATTTAGTAGCCAAAGAATTAAAAAAAAAAAAAGAAACCATCCATACCTACTGAGGCCAGGTTTCTGAAGGTTTCCATCATCACTTCTCTGTAGAGTTTCCTCTGAGAAAGATCCAGCAGTGCCCACTCTTCCTGCGTAAAGTCCACAGCCACATCCTCACCAGTCACTGAGTCCTAAAATATCCCACATGTTCTGGTTCAGCAAGGTACCATGTACTCCAATGTGTGTGAAAGGAAGGGTGAAGCTGACAATTCTGGGGAACTGAGATTTCATGGGGATTTGATACAGGGTTCTGTGTTCTACTAAGGTCTCCTCTGGGGTTGTAGCCATCAGCCTCATCCCTTCACTGTCTACATTCACTTCATCACTGATTGCATCCTGTCTCAAAGACTTAACAATACTTCCAACACAATGAACTTAACTCTCTAGTTTGACTGTGACTCATTCCTCTCCTTATGGTCTAGAACAGTCAGAACACATACCATAAATTAGAGAAATGCTCTACAATGAAAGCCTTATTTCCACATTCACATCATCTCTTCCTTGTGAAAAAAAAAGTTCACCTCCTTGCACAGGACCCACCAGAATATTTAACAAAACATGAAGCACAGTGTGAAAGCAGGATGAGATATTAACAACAGGGAAACACTGCAGGACTGGCAGTTTTTCCTTTTGCCCCTCACCAGCCACAGGAGGCCCAGTGGCCCGCACAAACTGGCAACCAGAGGCCCTGAGCTTTTCTTAAAGAACTCCAGGTGATCAAGAGCTGACAGGACCACCTGCTGAATAGAGGCTATTATTTTGGGGAATTATGAATTTTTACATGTCTGTCCCCTACTTTTCAGTAACTCTACAGCTGCACTGTCACACACTCTGTCCCTTCATGGAGACAGACAAGGGTACTGAAAAGGTAAATAGAGATCAGGTAAGAGACAGGAAACAAAACAATCCAGGTATCATCACAATTTTCAAACTCTGAAACCCAAAGCTACTGTAGAGCAATTATTAGTGACTGCTCCCCTCAGCAGACAGCCACACACACACACACACACTAATGTTATGACAAAAAGGCCAATCTCTGAAGAACCAGAACGGCATGTCCTTGTGTTTGCTGACCGTGAACAAGAGGTTAAGATTCCCATTTTCTAGTAAGTTCACTGAACTGCAGGGGAGTCAGCTGTTAAACTGCTCGTGCATCCTAGGAAACAGAGCCTTCCATATCAACCCTCCAGACAGCCTCCTCCAAAATTTTCTCACATTAATGCAGCCACTGGAAGGCACACAAGCACAACTACCTGAACTCTGACCACCGGCATCCTCTGGGCTCTAGGACGGGCCTCTGTGAAACAGCATCAACCCTTTGGCTCCCATATGTGGTGAGGAGACAAAAGGCTGCTACTCTGCGCTACTGTTACTAATTTTACTGAACAGCCCAGCAGATGCAGAACAGACAAGCTATGGTGTGAAGGGAGCTGTCAAGGTCATTCCTAATCAATCCTGGTATGACAGTGTCACAGCGAACTTTGATCCAGTGCCACTTTCGAAAATCTCCTCCACTGCAGTGGGCCAGGTTACATATGTTAAAGGCATCAAAAACCCTAACTTTCATTCCTACAATATATTAATGACAAAAATGGTGCATTTAGGGAGTTCCGGCAAAATGGCGCTCTAGGCAGAAGCACCACGCC